TGATTCTGTTATCGTTCTACTGGTTTCGATTTTCTTAATGTGAATTATTGTGATAGACATGTGGCATTAAACATTTGATACATTATTACCGGTAAATTTTCTTATAAAAAATTAATCCTGGTGGTTATTCTAGATCCAACAAGACTGACCTTTCCTCTTGTCCCTGGTTCATATTGATATAATGCATTTATTTGTAAAAAAAACAAACAAAAACCAGTAACCAGTATTTTGTTGGTCACTTAATAACATGCAGTTTAGTTTCTGAGTGGCTTTTGCTTCGGGCCTGACGGGGAATAAATAACTTGTTGTCTCGCACACAAAGTGACGGTCAGTTTAAACGTCCTGTCCTGAAGTCAACGTCTCGCAGAGCGGACACCGACACCAGCTGATGTCCCGAATGCCTCCAAACATCCCAAGAACAAGGCAGCGAACGGGAATCCTGCTGCACTGTGTGTCAGAGCTCTGTGTTGTGTATGTGAGCCGCTCAGCAGTCAGCAGACATCGTCTCTTCTCTGCTTTACTGACAGTAGCTTCCTCTGGGAGACGTCCTCACACCCCCGTGATGGCTCCTGCTTGGCTGCTGGTGCTGATATTTGGTGTTGTGAGTGAGGTGGTTAGACGTCCGTGTTGATGGACCCACGGCGGGGGGTAGATGGTGTGCAGTGTTGAGGTGCCAGTCTTGTACTGTTACGGGCTGATTGTGTCCCATGTGAAGGGACTTGGAAGGATACTGATCAGAGCTGTAAAGTCCTTGTTCCTCAGGCTCCTTTTTCTCTCTGGCAAGCAAACAGTCCCCACTAAACAGCACCTGAACACCTTTGACCAGATACCAACTCTTTGCTACACAGAACACACACAGTTCACTCATGGTTTGCGTGTGTGTTTCAGACATGGCAGGGGGACCGGTGGACCCCAGAGAGATCCTGAAGAGTGTGGAGCCTCTGCTGGGGAAAGATGGAGAGCTCCGCAGTCTGGAGGGGGTCCCAAAGGTGTACAGGTGAGAAACTGAGAGGAGGCTGAACTCATTATGGGCGCGACCTTTGCCCTTTGCCCTTCTTGACTGCACCGTGTTATATCTTCATACTTGTGCTTTTCTTTTTAATGCAGCCTTATGAAAGCTTCTACCAAGATGGTCAGTAGATGTATGTACCTGAGCATCTTGCTGCAGACCAAATCCCACGATGTTCTGAACAGGTGGGCTTTACTCTTTCTTCATATGCTGGATATTGCAAGCCTGGTTCTTATAACATCAATATTAACAATATAATGGAAATATTATATTGCATTTGAAGAAATCAACTTACACTGTTTCTTTCCTTTCACGTCAAATTAATTTATTTCAGTTAAATTATACTGAAATAAACTAACCTGCATTTACTTGTATTTAAAAATGCATCAATAAACCACATTGTTTGGGCTCAAACCGTATAAAAAAACATGCTTCTCGAGTCAGTATCAAGATCCAATCACATCTGTGTACATTGTTATAATAGTACGCATCAATCAATTGCACCAAACACATATTTTGTCACACCAAAGCGTTTTCTGTTCGTGATACGATTCGATTTGAGAACATAACTGAACTCTGAAGCAGACAAACACAAACCAGAAATGAATACCACAGAACAATGTTGTGTTTATGTATTTTATTCAGAATCAATTTCACATAAAACATTGTGAGAAAGTCACGGTGCCAACATCCGAGAGAAGGGAGAGACAGTAACGTGATAGCAGCTTCTGAACATAATCTGTTACTAGCATGCTTCCATTGGTCTTTTGATCCGTGAAGATCTGCATCCTTCATCCTTCTTCTCTCATTCATCCAGGTTTATCAGAGTCGGTGGCTACAAGATGCTAAACGCCTGGCTCACCTACTCCAAAACCACCAACAACACCCCCCTGCTGCAACTCATCCTGCTCACGCTGCAGAAGTTGCCTCTCAAAGTGGACCACCTCAAACAGGTACTGTCTCTGCCCATCCACCACCAGAACCCTGGTCCATCATCCAGTAGAACCCTGGTCCACCATTCAGTAGAACCCTGGTCCACCATCCACTAGAACCCTGGTCCATCATCCAGTAGAACCCTGGTCCACCATCCACTAGAACCCTGGTCCATCATCCAGTAGAACCCTGGTCCACCATCCACTAGAACCCTGGTCCATCATCTACTAGAACCCTGGTCCATCATCTACTAGAACCCTGGTCCACCATCCAGTAGAACCTTGGTCCACCATTCAGTAGAATCCTGGTCCACCATCCAGTAGAACCTTGGTCCACCATCCAGTAGAACCTTGGTCCACCATCCACTAGAACCCTGGTCCACCATCCAGTAGAACCCTGGTCCATCATCCAGTAGAACCCTGGTCCACCATCCAGTAGAACCTTGGTCCACCATCCACTAGAACCCTGGTCCACCATCCAGTAGAACCCTGGTCCATCATCCACTAGAACCCTGGTCCACCATCCAGTAGAACCCTGGTCCACCATCCAGTAGAACCCTGGTCCATCATCCACTAGAACCCTGGTCCATCATCTACTAGAACCCTGGTCCACCATCCACTAGAACACTGGTCCACCATCCACTAGAACACTGGTCCACCATCCACTAGAACCCTGGTCCATCATCCACTAGAACCCTGGTCCACCATCCACTAGAACCCTGGTCCACCATCCACTAGAACCCTGGTCCACCATCCACTAGAACCCTGGTCCATCATCTACTAGAACCCTGGTCCACCATCCACTAGAACACTGGTCCACCATCCAGTAGAACCCTGGTCCATCATCCAGTAGAACCCCGGTCCACCATCCAGTAGAACCCTGGTCCACCATCCACTAGAACCCTGGTCCACCATCCACTAGAACCCTGGTCCACCATCCAGTAGAACCCTGGTCCATCATCCAGTAGAACCCCGGTCCACCATCCAGTAGAACCCTGGTCCATCATCCAGTAGAACCCTGGTCCACCATTCAGTAGAACCCTGGTCCACCATCCAGTAGAACCTTGGTCCACCATCCACTAGAACCCCGGTCCATCATCCACTAGAACCCTGGTCCATCATCCAGTAGAACCCCGGTCCATCATCCAGTAGAACCCGGTCCATCATCCACTAGAACCCTGGTCCACCATCCAGTAGAACCCTGGTCCACCATCCAGTAGAACCCTGGTCCACCATCCAGTAGAACCCTGGTCCATCATCCAGTAGAACCCTGGTCCACCATCCAGTAGAACCCTGGTCCATCATCTACTAGAACCCTGGTCCATCATCCAGTAGAACCCCGGTCCACCATCCAGTAGAACCCTGGTCCACCATCCACTAGAACCTTGGTCCACCATCCAGTAGAACCCTGGCTGTAGTATCTGACATGTCTTTCCCTTCCAGAACAACACAGCCAAGCTGGTGAAGCAGCTGAGCAAGAGCGCGGACACTGAAGGTCTGTGAGCTTCTTTCAAACATGAATGATTGCATGAGGAGGAGACGTGCTCATGTTGCGGTGTTTCCCTCTCAGAGCTGAGGAAGTTGGCGTCGGTGCTCGTAGAGGGCTGGATGGCTACAATCCGTTCCCAGAGTGTGTCGAGCAGCAGCACCTCTCCTGCTGGTGAGCAGCCCTCATTTCTTCCCAGTGAAGCGTGCACAGTTTCTACCTGCAACACATACTGACACGTTCCATCTCGCCTCCAGATAAGAAAAAGAAGAAAGTGGAGGGCAAGCTACCCGTTCGGGACGTGAAGGAGAAGAGTGGAGAGGAGGAGAAGAAGAAGGAGAAACCTAAAGCTCACGCACCGAGCCACGCAAAGATCCGCTCCATTGGTAAACAGAACCGTCCTGAATGTCACGTGATCACGTCCAGTATGATGCTGATATCATGGCTCAAAGCCACGTCACTGGAACCACGTAACACACGCGTATATCCATTCGCCTACCGGGTACCCAGGAAGAGGAGACGCCATGTCCCGCCATAAACTCAAATGTGTCCAAATCTCATGTGTTATTGTCCACTAGCAGCTGCTGGGCCGTCATCTTCTCTCTGTAAATAATGGATATGCTCTTTGTTGTGTAGGATTGGAGATGGACACTCCCAGCATGGCCCCTGCTAAGAAGACGCCCACCGCCCCGCAGCTGGGGGACAAGTACAACATCAAGCCTCCAGTCCTCAAGAGGCTAAGGTACTGAACCCTCCGTGTCTCTGGTAATACAGCAGCGTCCTGTGCTGGATTCACACCGCTGGCTCAGGACTGCCCCCTGCTGGCCGATGACAGTGCTTGAATGTTTCCTTTTGTGTCCCCTTTCCTCCACTAGCTCTGGTCCAGCAGATGCTCCACCGCTGGAGAAGAAATACAAACCTCTGAACACCCCCTCTAACTCTGCCAAAGAGATCAAAGTGAAGATCATTCCAGCACAGCGTATGTTTAAGCCCACGGCCTCATTTGAAACGCATGTAAGAGAGAGACATGATGGTGGTGTGTGATGTTCTCCGCTCTCTTGTGTCCTCACTGCAGCGATGGAGTGCACAGGGTTCCTGGACGCTCTGAACTCTGCTCCAGTGCCTGGGATTAAGATTAAGAAGAAGAAATCTGGTGCTGGTACTACCCCCAATACCACTACCAAGGCCAACTCCCCCACGTCTAACAAGGTACACACCCATCCCATTCTGAGCAGCCTGAGGATATTTGACTTATAGTCTTCAGAACAAATGTTGTTTGCATTTGAACCAAACATGAAAGATTTATCAGAACTGCCGGTGCACAGAAGTGAGGAACGTCAGACTCCAAGAAGCTGTAAACATCTCTGTCTTTTTGCAGTCAAGATAAAGTCCAATACTCTTTGTCTGCAGGGAAGTCCATTTGACAGCAAACCTTCTTCGTATTCTTCATCTTCTGCAAAACCGTCATCTCCAGAAACAGCTGCTTCCATCACTCCTGCTGATGAAAACCAGGAGCTGGAGCGGCCCGGGACCCCTGTTCCCTCTGAGGAGGCCGAGGCCTCTGACAACGGTACGGTCCTTGAGGTGATGATGATGACCTTAGTGAAGTTCATTCAGTCAGCCTCCTGACGTGGTCCCGTTGCTTTGTAGGCGAGAAGCCGAACGCTCTGGCAGAACCACGGGGAGAAGAAGAGAGCTTGACCAAGAAAGGCAAGAAGAAGAAGACAGTTCACTGGGCTGAGGAGGAGCAGCTCAAACACTACTTCTACTTTGATCTGGATGAGACAGAGAGAGGTAAGGACATGAACCCCTGTGGGACTATCGCTTTCACAGCTGATCCAAAATGTGAGAGAGGGGAGAGAATAGAAATATTAGAGAGGTCCTAGGTCCCTCCCTAATATTCCTTTATATTGTGGTTTCTCACCAACACATCATGATGATACTCGTTTTCACCAAACATCATGTTGTCCCTGAGGGGAACCTTTGTTCCCTGTCTGTCCCCTTACTGAATCACAATGACAGAATATGCTCAATGTACTGATCGCATATCGAGGTTGGCCAGTCAGACTTCCTGTATTTCTGTGGCGTTGTGAGGGTTTAGGCAAAGTGTCATTGATGTGACGCCGGTTCCGGTACCCAACGCTCCTCATGACTCATCTTATTGCACATAATTCACAGTTAACGTCAACAAGATCAAGGACTTTGGCGAGGCTGCCAAACGAGAGCTGATGATGGACAGGCAGACGTATGAGATGTCCCGCCGGCTCTCTCATGACACCATGGAAGAAAGGGTCCCCTGGACCCCCCCAAGGCCCCTGACGCTGACCGGCAGCCTGGTCATCACTGGCACCAACAGCACAGAGAAACTCTCCCAGAGAGACCGTGAGATGGGCATCCTGCAGGAGATCTTCCTCACCAAGGAGAGGTCAGGCCCTTTCTGTGTTCATTTTAATCTCGATTCTCCACACAAGAGGCTCTCCAGTGATGCTAATGGTTTTCCAAATTGTCTTGTTACTAGTGTGCCCGATAGTCCACATGAACCAGACCCGGAGCCTTATGAGCCCATGCCCCCCCGTCTCATTCCTCTGGACGAGGTTAGTGCATTCACATCACTCACTGGCAACAGTTGGCCTTCCTGTCGCTTCCCTCCAACGAACACATTTTGTGCACGCAGGACTCCACCACGCAGGAGGACGGATATGTGGAGCCCATGGACACGGCGTCCCAGCACGGCTCTGCTTTGGCCCTGACCGAGAGCTCCAAGCTGCCCCCGGTGCTGGCCAACCTCATGGGCAACCTGAGCAGCACCTCCCGCAGCCCACAGGCCACGCCCACAGTCAGCAACCCCGTGGCCCCCACTGTCAACGTCCAGGAGCTGCTCTCATCCATCATGGTACGTACGTGTGCAGAGCTCACCGAATTCCCTCCGCCGGCGTGTCGCTGGCGTGTCGCTGGCGTGTCGCTGGCGTGTCGCTGGCGTGCCGCTGGCGTGTCGCTGACGTGTCACTGACGTGTCACTGACGTGGTGCCGACGTGGCGCCGACGTGTCGCTGGCGTGGCGGCGACGTGGCGCCGGCGTGTCACTGACGTGTCACTGACGTGTCACTGACGTGGCGCCAACGTGGCGCCGACGTGTCGCTGGCGTGGCGGCGACGTGGCGCCGGCGTGTCACTGACGTGTCACTGACGTGTCACTGACGTGGCGCCAACGTGGCGCCGACGTGTCGCTGGCGTGGCGGCGACGTGGCGCCGGCGTGTCACTGACGTGTCACTGACGTGGCGCCAACGTGGCGCCGACGTGTCACTGGCGTGTCACTGACGTGGCGCCAACGTGGCGCCGACGTGTCACTGACGTGTCGCTGGCGTGTCGCTGACAGGTTGCTGGCGTGTCACTGACGTGCCGCTGACGTGTGGTTGGCGTGTCGCTGACGTGCCGCGGACGTGCCGCTGACGTGCCGCTGGCGTGTCGCTGACAGGTTGCTGGCGTGCCGCTGACGTGCGGCTGACGTGCCGCTGACGTGTCGCTGGCATGTGGCTGGCGTGTGGCTGGCGTGTGGCTGACGTGTCGCTGTCTGTCCGCAGGGTGCTTCTGGTAACCAGTCGACTGAGGACTTGATCAAGCAGCCTAACTTCTCGGACAAGATTAAACAGCTACTGGGCTCTCTCCAGCAGACCCAGAACCAGGGAGGACCTCCACCAGGTGAACCCCACGTCTCCTCCCTGTGCCGTAGCATCATGGCCCCCTGTGGGGGTCCTGTTCCTCGTTCTTATGTAACCTGCTTGTCTTTCCATCTAGTCAACCCTGGTTTGCTGGGTCACGGTCCAGGCATGAACAATATGAACAACATGAACATGCACATGCAGATGCCCATGAACGGCGGCTACCCACCCAACAACCCGCCCGGGGGTCCTCGCTTCAACCACCCTCCACCCCCTCACAACCACGGCCCGCCTTTCAACAGCGGCGGAGGCCCGCGCATGATGGGGCCGCCACCGGGCCAGGGCCAGGGCCGCGGGGACAATGGCAACTACTGGGGAGATGATTCCATGAGAGGGGGGCCCCACAGGGGGGGCCACTTCCACCGAGGAGGCCGAGGCCGAGGAGGAGGAGGAGACCTGGGCTTCAGGGGCAGAGGACGAGGGGGGCCCAGAGGAGGACACAACAACATGAATGGTATGTGGGACACGGGCCTCAGAATAACCCGAATGAATCACAGCCAGAACGTATGTAGATTTAGAGCGGGGGGGGGGGGGGGGGACACTTCTGCTCGCTGCAGTCAGAGACCCACACGTCTCCCCAGCCAGTCTTACGGTTCTGCAAATGAGGTGTGTGTCGCGTGATTGTAACTGTGCTCCATCTCCTCCTGGCAGACATGTCCAAGAGGCCCGTGTGTCGTCACTTCATGATGAAGGGAAGCTGCAGGTACGAGAGTAACTGTGCTTTCTATCACCCTGGGGTAAACGGACCCCCGCTGCCACCCAACCACCCCGCTAACAACCAGCACCCACAGCACGGACACTAGGGCCCTGCTGGCGAGCGGTGATCCAACCCTGCACCTTCCGCGACGCCGGCCTGGAGCAGCTAGCTGAGGGGAGAGCGATGCCACGGCGTTTTTATTGGGTCATTTTAAACAGCGACCCTGTCTGAGCCAGCACCACTGAATCTGTCCTGCGCTGTGCTTGTCTTCCTGTGCACGTGTGATATTGTATCATATTCCCTTCATGAAGTCAGACAAGTGACAGCAGCATTTCGGAAGCACTTAATGAACCCATGACTCGCTGACCCCGAGGCAAAGGTCATGGTGCTCAGACGGGGTTCTTCCAGCTGCTGCTGCTGAATGGGACGACGTGGACAGGACCAGCCACAGCGCGTGTCCCCATCCCAAGTGTGTGACGTGGGTCTGTCAGTCATCTGTAGTCTGGGGGGTTCAGCCATATGACTGTTTTCTGTGAAAACGATGACCTTTGTGTCTCTTGTGGGACTGTGATAATCTATTGGTTGTTGTTTTTTATTTTATTTTCATGCGATCATCAGAATATCGGCCCTTTTTTAAGGTGGGTTCAGTTTTTGTCGGTATGAAATGTTTGTAAGAATACAAAATGCACATTCATGCTCAGTCATATTTTCTGTTGAATTATTTTGTACAAAGTGTATTGAATAAATGTCAAACATAAATGCGCTGTGTTTAGTGGATACGGGTATGAGCGCTCACAGGTTCTTCACCCAGCGCCGCTCAATAAACACTCATGGCTGCAGCTGAAGGCGGCGCACAGTGACAGCGTGACGCAGAAGCCAACTCTCACCGGACGGAGCTGACGCTGGCACTCCGGGTTCATCCCGCGGGGGAACTGTGGTCCACATGACTTCCTGCTGTGAGATGATGGCAATAGATGTATTCTGTCTGTGCTACAAACACTTCAATTCATTTTATTTTTACTGCCCAAAATCACAAAGTACAAGTTTTCCTCGGAGGGCTTTAGGCTGTGCATCCTCACAACTCCCCCCACCATGTACTGACCCTGAATGAACCTGAACCCAGCTAATGGGTCAACGCACCATGTGTCTGCACAGCAGAAGGTTGTGAGTGCGTTAGCATTTAGCTCACGCAGCACCGTGTCCCACTCGTAGCTTCGCTGTGACTCGACACACCTGATGATCTTTACCGTTACATACAATCAGAACATATGTGGCTACTCAGAGAGCACAACATGTGTTATTTATTCATACTTCTGCCTTTATTGAGCTGGTGAGAACAGTCAAACATTCTGGTGTGTGTGGATAAGTAGAACTAGTATTACACACACATGTCGTCACACGTTCATTGGTCATTATTAAAGAATCAACTTGATCGACTCGGCACCTGGACCCTCACATCGGGTCCGATTAGGAGGGACGGCATCCATCCCACTTTGGATGGAGCTGAACTTCTTTCTAAGAACCTGACCCAGTTTCTTAGTGGACTTAATCCATGACCCAGAGTTCAGACCAGGGAGCAGAGTCGCAGTCTTACACACTTCTCTGCGCTTCGATCTGAGCAGTCACTCAGCATAATGAACCCTATAGAGACCTTGTCTGCCCCACGGACACACTTATCTAAGTTAAAGGTAAACAACCGAGGAGTTGTAGTAAATAACTTAATTAAAGTTAAAACTAATAATGCAATAGTGCAACAAAATAGGAGAATTAAAGGGGGTCTTTTGAAGATCAGATCTCTGTCATCTAAAGCTGTTTTGGTAAATGAACTAATATCAGATCACCATGTTGATGTATTTTGTCTTACTGAAACGTGGTTGTTGAATGGGGAATATTTCTGTTTAAATGAAGCGACTCCTCCGAGTCATGTTAATACTCATATTCCCCAAGGCACAGGCCGAGGGGGGGGGTGGCAGCTATTTATGACTCCTGCCTTTTAATAAACTTTAAACCTAAAGTGGATTATAACTCATTTGAAAGCCTGGTTTTCAGTCTTTCGCAACCGACCTGGAAAACAATCCAGCCGGTTCTCTTTGTAATAGTGTACAGGGCCCCAGGTCCTTATTCAGAATTTCTTTCACAGTTCTTAACGAGTTTGGTCCTTAAAAAGGACAAGGTAATTGTTGTGGGTGACTTTAACATTCATGTGGATGTGGACAACGACAGCCTTAGTACTGCATTCCTTTCATTGTTAGATTCAATTGGTTTCTGTCAGTGTGTAAATAAACCAACTCACTGTTTTAACCACACTCTCGACTTGGTGCTTGTGTATGGGATTGGGATTGAACATTTAACTATTTTTCCACAGAACCCTCTCCTGTCGGACCATTGTCTGATAACCTTTGAATTTCTACTATCAGAACCACCTCCTCCTGCCAAAGGTTTCTACAGTCGACGCTTATCGGATACCGCTGTAGCCTTATTTAAAGAAGCCATTCCTTCTGCTCTAAGTTCAGTGCCCTGCCTCAAGATACAAGAAGACTCCTGTGAGAACTTCAGTCCGTCCCAGATCGATCATTTTGTCGATACTGCTACAGGCTCTTTGAGAGTGGCGCTGGATGCTATTGCTCCTCTGGAAAGAAGAATAGAAACAAGAAGGAAGTCTGCTCCTTGATAAAACCCTCAAACACAGAACCTAAAGCTTCACCTCTTCCACAAATAGAAATAGAGAAGCTGTGGGGAGACTGACAACATATAAATCTCCTGGTGCTGATGGTTTCCCAGCAGAGTGGTATAAAACATTTATTGAACTACTAATCAATACTGAAGGGCTCGTTTAAATATACCTTTGCCAACTGGGAACTGTCATGGAAGGAAGCTGTAATAAAGGAAAGAACAGTGATACCGGCTGCGGTTATATCAATGCTTACTACAGAGGTACACATGATATACCTCGCTTTTGCAAAAAGATATGAGCGATTCATAAATGATATTGTAGATGAAGACCACACACAGGCTTCATCAAGGTGCCCGAGATTAAAATGAACTTATTAACTACAGAAATATCAATACTGCCTTGATAAAAGGCACAAGCATTTAGGCAGAATAAAGACAACTTGTTTAAAGACAAATGAGAGTTGGAAGGCGCACTCAGAAGAAAACAGATACAAGAAAAGAAAAGAATGGCCAACGTCCAGTAAGAGGAGAACGTCCCAGAATAAATGGAATTTAATTCGCAGGAGGTTGAACTTCCAATGAATTTCTACCTTGGTTCACTGGGGGAAGAGGTGGGAGGTGAGCTGGAGGACAGCGAGGGAAGGCTCACCGAAACCCAGTCTCCTCCGGATCAATGAGGACGGACTTCAACATCTCCTGGATCTTCTCCAAGAACATACGAATGGAGATGAACACAAGGAGCCTGACAGCCCCTCTGGGAGGGACCAGAACTATCAAAATGCAGCATAGAGAATAAAGGGAGAAAAAGAGTGAAGTGGAGGCTGTGAAGGTGAGCGCGCGTGCTGAAAGGAAGTGGATTTCATAGTCAACTGGAAATTGAGAGAACTCAAACAACAACAAAGAAGCAGAAGCTCACAGAAATCAGCAGGGGGCAGTAAAGCGAATGAAGGGAAGCTTCAGGGATTTCCACGAGGACAAGACGAGCAGAAAGAGAGTGGAAAAAGATGGCAGCAACCCTGAAAGCATCACAGGACCTTCTCCAGGCTGAGCGCCACTCAGCAGATGAAGACCAACCAGGATGAGGTGCAGCTATTTATGGACTTCTGCTGGACTGGACAAACAGACACAGCTAAGACTGAGCAGCACCTGAGGAATCTTCCCTGAAGTCCCACTCATGGCTCGGCTGAAACCCTCACAAGGAGACACTCTTGCCAAGCTGCACATGTAAGACAAGGTCAATAAAAACCTCACAGCTGCTCTGAAGATCAGCTGGAGAGACATCATTTCCATGCAGCTCAGATTAAACCAGCAATTTATTGGTGCACCAACAATTATGAAGCAAAATGGAAATAGCTAAAACGATAGGTGGAATGAAGGGGAATTCAAAGCCTCAACTCAACTCATGTCCTGTTTAACATCATTAAACAGGACATTTATTAAATAATGTTTGCAAACATGGAGACAGAATTTACACACAAGTTATGCGTAACCACTGCGCAATGGTCTTCATCTCCGGAGTGGGAGGATATGAAGATAACCCAATGGAACAGGGGGCTTTGTGCACATCCGAGGGCCGTCACGTTCTTTTCCCAGGACATGTAGTCACCAGGACGTCGTCTAGAGATTCTTCTATCAGCTGATTGTAAGAGGTGCAGACATTGTGCGCTCTTAAGAGCCCTGCTAACTATGACACAATGTTACTTCAGTTTTTCCAACTGAAATATAGCAAAAGATCGGCTTCAACGGATGGATGTTGATGTTAATTAGAGATGTGCTAAATTGGTATAAAAATACAGACTAGAAGAAGAGCTCAGGCTCCTAGGATGGATCCTCCGATACATATTTTATTCCAGGTATTATCGGTCAGACGTAATAAAATGGATTCTCTATGGAATAACAGCAATATGCATTACATTACATGTCATTACATTACATTTCATTACATTACATCACATGTCATTTATCTGACGCTTTTATCCAAAGCGACTTACAATAAGTGCATTTAAGTGCATTAGAGTCTGAAGAGGTGTGTCTTTAGTCTGAAGATGTGAAGGCTCTCTGTGGTCCTGGTGTCTTCAGAGACCTCCTTCCACCATTTAGGAGCAGGACAGCAAAGAGTGGTGATCTAGTCGAGTGTTTTGCTCTCAGTGAGGAGGAACAAGCAGTTTATCAGATGCAGAGCGGAGAGTGCGGGACGGGACGTCGGGTTGGACCAGGTCCTGGATGTAAGCTGGACCCCATCCATTCACAGCATGGTACGTGAGCACCAGTGTTTAGAACTGGATGAGCCACCGGTACCAGTGAAGAGAGCGGAGGAGCGGAGGAGAACTTAGGTTAAAGACCAGTGGAGCTGCTGCATTCTGGATGAGCTGCAGAGGTGGAATGGTGGTAGCAGGAGACCTGCAGGAGAGAGTTACAGTAGTCCAGGAGGGAGATGACAAGAGCCTGAATCAGTACCTGCGCCGCCTTCTGAGTGAGAAGGGGACGTATCCTCCTGATGTTGTAGAGCGAGTATCTACAGGATCGCGTTGTCGCAGTGATGTTGGGAGTCAGGGAGAGTTGACTGTCGAGTGTCACGCCGAGGTTCCTGCAGACAAAGTGCGCATTTACACAGAGTTGCCAAAGTTAACCGTCGCGCCAGGGCTCGGAGAATCTTTTCCTAGAAAGAGAAGTAGTATGCAGTAGTCTAGAAGTATGCACAGTTATTAAAGATGGAAGAGTTTTTTTTTAAACGGAAAAATAAAGCACACTTGGGAAAAAATGGAATAATTAGAACCATAGGAGTTTACTCCCTCCCTCCCTGCGGCCCAGCGTGGAGGCCGTAGGAGGCCTGGAGCCGGATGGCGAGGTCCATCACGCGCTCCCAGTGTGATCCGCCAGGAACCCCACTACGGGCGGCCCGCTGGAGACTGCGTGGACCGCCCATATCCAGACGGGTTCCCCTGAACTCTTCCCGGGGAAAAAACTCTGCTGAGTCCTTAGGTGGTCGCGTCATTCTGTCAGAGATGGAGGGTGGCAGGACTCAAATGCAGAGTTCTTAAAAAAAAAGAGACTTTAATAGTCAAAAAGGCAAAACGCAAAAGGCC